CCCCCCCCCCCCCCCCCCCCCGCCGCTGAGAAGGCTGAGCTCAGCAGTTCCCTTAACTGCTCTTGGCACAATTCTGGCTCCTCCGTGCCCCTTGCATTTTTGGTCACTCTGCTCTGTGCTCTTTCCAGTTCCTCTGTGTCCTTCTTGCACTGAGGTGACTGAGCGTGGTCTGACCGATGTGGTGTAGGGCGGGACTACAACTTCTCAGGATCTCACAGTTGTACCTCTGTGGCTGCAGCCCAGGATTACGTTGGCTCTTTTGGCCGCTGCAGCACACAGCTGGCTCAGGCTTAATCCGTGATTTGCCAGGACACCCAGATCCTTCTCACAAATGGGACCACCGAGCCAGGAGCCACAGACCTGCATCTGGATTTTCCTGCTTAAGGGCAGAACCTTACATTTCTCAGCACTGAACTGAATCTTGTTGGATATCAAGATCCTTTTGAACCTCGGTTCTGTCTTTGAATACCATAAAACATACATATACATATACAAATACAAATGAAACGCAAGATGAAAGCACCATGTAAACTAGGCAGCAGCAAGGTGTCATTCAGAAGCCATAACAATACTGTACCAATTAAAATGCAATTAATTAAACCCATTAAAAAGCTTTGGGAAATTAAAAGGTTTTCACCTGGTGCCAAAATGATGCTAATCTGGGTGCCAGTCGAGTGTCTCTGGGGAGGGAATTCCGTTAATGGGGGGCTACCACAGAACCCCCCTAACCCTAACCCCCTTGTACAGACCCAGCTCACCCTCTTTGGTGGGGGGGACCTGGAGGAGGGCCTGGTTAGGCAAACTCAAGGTCTGGGTGGGTGCTCCTTCTGGGGGCCTGCCCCTAGAGATCAGCACTCTGAATGGGGCCCAGGAGGGGAGATGGCGAGGAACTGGCATGGTGCGTTTGGGATGGCCCATCCCAGCGGACAGTCCAGCTGCTTGGTTTCGAAATTTCCCGACCGTTTTCAAAGGCAGCCCCGCGTGCGACACCTTGCAGTAATCCAGCTGGGAAGCAGCCACAGCGTGAGTAAGCGTGGTGGGGCTGTCCTGATAAGATCACAGGTAGTAAACCAGCCAAACTGGAGGGAGGGCATTTGTTCCACCGAGGCCACCTGTGTCTCTGGTGGCGACACCGAGGGACCTAGAGGCGCCCCCAACCAAGGCCTGGCTCGTTCAGGGCAAGCAGGGATCCTTCCAGGACAGGCAGGCACTGCTCAGCTGGACGGGTGCCGTGCCCACATGTGGTACCACCGTCTTGATCCACCCCCTCGTCCCAGCAAAGATAGCGGAGAGCCCCGGGTGGTCGCTGCGAAGGACTGCGGCCCCTGAGGGACGGGAAGCACCCCAATACCATGTGGGACGTATGGGCGGGTGTCCTAGCGCTCTCTCAAAAAGCCGCATTTTTATGGCTCTCCTGAAGCCCGACAGGATGGGGGCTGGTCTGATCCCAGAGACGGAGAAGCACAGCTGGCAAGGGTTGACTCCCCGGGCCCTGTGAATGCCAGTCCCTAAGAGGAGGATCTAGAGAGGGCCAGCCCTCTGGGAGTGCCGTCCCGCAGATATATCGGGCTCCGTGGTGCTTTCAAGGGGGCAATCAGCACCCATCCATCCATCCATCATCTTGTAAAAACAAAACAATCAAAACACATCTTAAGTAACCATTAAAAACAGTAAAGCATGCATATAATAAGGCCTTGGGAAGGTGTTTAAAAACTTATGCACCTTGCATTGCACCAGGAAACCAGCAGGCAACCAGGCAGCCCTCCAAGTAGGGGGGTCTCATGGGAGGGCTTGGATACTCCCATCATTCCTAGAGCGGCTGTACCCTGAACCAACTTGGTCCCAGGCCTGTGGTTAATGTATTGCTTTTGCTTCGGGCTGTTTTTAGATTGTTTTAGCTGGGGCTGTCTCTGCAGTTTTACTGTAGGTTAATCTGTTTTTATGGATTGCTGGGGGGCCTTGTATGCCATCCGGAGTCTATTGGAGTTGGGCGGCTATAATACATTTAAATAATAATAGTAATAGTAATAGTAACAACAACTGAAGCTTCCAAGTAGTCTTCAAGGGCAGTCCCAGATAGGCAAGCTGCAGCAATCCAAATGGGAGGTGACAAAGGCATGAAAGATACCGAGGAGGACCTCCTCACCCAGATGTAACTGTGCAACAGCCAGCTGCGCTCTGAGGAGGAGCTGTGGGTCCCAAAGGACATACCAATTACTAACCAGTCTGTACAAGGAAGCCCTGTCCCAAGGATGGATGACCCCTTGAGTCGGAGGGTTTCCACACCCACGGCCACTCTGTGTTGCTGGGACTGAGTGTGAACTTGCTGTTCTCTGCCCTCCCAGTCAGACCCAGAGAGGCCCTCTGGCCCATCTCCTGTCGGGCCCAACATCGAGCTGTATCATCAGCGTAGAGATGGCCTCACCCAGCAGCTTCATGTAGATGTTGGACAGGAGGATGGGAGGGTGAAGCTCTGTGGTGTTTCACCACAGAGGTCCTTGAGACACAAACTCTCCCCTGCTCCCACCAAGAAACTCTGCCTAGAACACCCCCTGGAAGGAGCAGGAGGAGGAGGAGGAGGAGGAGGAGGAGGAGGAGGACTCCCTCGGTCTGTCCCTGACGGGGGTCTCACTGCTCCAGAAGGACTCTTAGTACTTCTCCACAGATGCCACACCACTAGATCAGGACTAGTCTGACTG